TGCGAAGTCAAAGGGGACGCCTGTCATCATCCGCTGAACCACGGATTTGACTACTTTTACGGCATTCCTCTCACAAATCTTAAAGACTTTGGCGACGACGGAGAGTCTGTCGTAAAGTCATATTTCCCTAATTTCCTGTCCTCTTTCACAACAATCGCCACAATAGGTCTCACGCTTACGATAATCGCTTACAATAAGACATATCACAAACTATCGTATCTCACATTCTTCTTACTCGTTGCGCTTCCCATCTCTGCCGTAGTCTTTCAACAGAGCATTAAACTTATTAATTCAGTGCTAATGCGCGGCACACAAGTCATTGAACAGCCCGTCCACTTGGAGGGCATCACCGACCGACTCGTCAACGAAGCCACGGGTTTTATGAGTGAACAAAACGCACAACAAAAGCCTTTTCTACTTGTTTTGAATTTTATCAAAGTTCATACGGGTATCAAATTATTTGCACATTTATATCGTCATCATTAGTAAAAATGCCTAAATTTTAATACAAATTTATTTGCATTTCTTTTACGGGCAATGTTTAGCCCACTTTCCTAACAAACATTTCAAAGGCAAGAGTGGGTTTGGAAAGTATGGCGATTGTGTCCTCGAAATGGATGACGGAATCGGCAAAATACTTGACTATTTGCGCGAATATAATCTCCGCGACAATACATTTGTGTACTTCAGTAGTGATAACGGCGGACATCTCGAAGAAGTGGGCGCCGATGGTGTGGCAGAAGGCGGTTCTAATGGCATTTATAAGGGTATGAAAATATGATAAAAACTTTTCAAAAATCGATTCGTTCGATACACAGGAGGCAAAGGTCACGGGGCTATGGAGGGGGGTATACGAGTGCCCACAGCCGTCATGTGGCCCAACAAAATCCCGCCCCAAGCAGTCATATCTGTGCCCACGAGTCAAATGGACGTCTTCTCCACAGTTCACGAAATATTAAGAATTCCCGAACCAAACGATCGTATTATTGATGGCAAGAGTATGTTGTCATTACTATTGAAGCCTAAATCTACTCCGAGTGCCCATCAGTTCCTATTCCACTACTGCGGCACATATTTACACGGCGTCCGATACGTTGAGTCCGCGGACAACATCTGGAAACTCTACTTTTCTAAACCAAAATACAAACCGGGCCAATACAAGTGCCAATTCATGTGTATGTGCTTCGGGGCGCATGTCGTTCACTACAACCCTCCGCTTCTTTACAATATAGCTTCAGATCCCGGAGAAAACATTTCCATTGATATTAACTCTGATATTAAATATCAACGAATTGTGGATAAGATTAGTGAAGAGGTAAAAAATCACAAACAATCCGTAGCGTCTGTTCCCTCACAGTTTGACTTCGAGAACACTATATGGAGGCCATGGCTTCAGCCGTGCTGTCAGTTCCCCACTTGTAGTTGTAGTGAAAATCAAGTCAAAAAGTGATACAACTTTATACATATCTTAAACCAAATACATTTATACGTTTAATTAACACATTATAGTACAATTGAATTATTATAATTTCTCTAATTATTCATAACTTTTATACAATTAATTGTATGCAATAATTCAAGCAAATTATATGTTTATTTACATAGTTTTTTACAATAATCAGTAAAAGGAGAACTAAATGATAAATTAATGGATGCAAACAAAATAACGACGATTTCAAGAATTTGATTAAAAAGAGTAATAAATTTTAATCAAGATAATTGTGGAAAACTATTAATTATTATAAAAGTTATATAAAGACTTATACAGAATATATATAAAGAAGTACTGTATATGAATTAGTTATGCATAATATTCTAATGAAATGAAACGATAAATTGATTATCTTTTTCGCCTTCGCTTCACTTTACGGGCCTTTTTTACCGACTCTTCGACCGTCACTTCAGTGGTCTTTTGGGGCTCAACTTCGGTCTCCACTTCCACTTCAGTCTCTTCGTCCTCCGAGTCCTCTACTGTCTTACTTTCCACTGATGTCTGTCTCGTATCGACCGTTCGTTTGGCACACTTTTTAGGCGGCGATTGCTTTGCGGCCGCCGCTGACTGTTTCACTGAAATCACTTTCTGCTCACACTTCTTGAGGATAACACGTCTCTCGCCCTCTGAGAGACTGGTTATATGCGACAGCATTTGTCGCGCGGACTCTACGCTAATGTCATATTTGTTGAGATTGGGAACAATGCGCTTAATATAGCGCTCTTTCAACGACTGCCACGTCCTCTTCCACTGTTTGCTGTGGAAGTCCTTCTCCATGTCTCTCCAGAACTTGCGTCCCTTCACTAACTCGTAGGCCTTCTTTCGAGTAATATAATGAAGAATATTCTTGTCTTCATCGGAAGTGTACGCACCGGTCAGACCTCGAGATACCGTTGAATCCCTCTCAGCGTAAAAATAGTCATTCAGTGTTTGTTTGTCTTTCTTTGAGATGTCTAACGTCTCGATGTTTGGCATAATATGTCTGCGGAAGCGCTCTTTCATGGACTGCCAGGTCCTGCCTTCGCACACAGTCTTCTTCTCGGCCTTTAACCACAAACTATTGCCTTTCATTTCATCGAATCGACGGCTCTTTAACACAAACTCAACGATGGCTTCGTCTTCGCTGAGTGTGTACTGCGAGCTCTGCTTTAATCGCCTCATTAATGACTTATTTGGGTATATCTTCGGCGTCACCGAACTCTTCTTGTTATCACTTTTAGAACTCTCGGTCTTCGAGTCTTCGTCTCCCGAAGATATATCACTCACTTTCAGACCCGACTCTTGCGAATCATTGCTTTGTCTTCTCTCAGCGATTCTCTTCTGTAATATCTTTTCGCCAAATGTCGTACTCTTTTGGCGCTGAGACGGAGCCGACTCTCCTTTCAACGACTTATCGGTGCCTTTCTTTGTCCGTCGATTGTCTGTAATCTTCGATAACTTTAACGCGTTTTTAATTTGCAATAAGTTGTCGGGAGTCGCCGTCCGCTCCCTTTCCTTCATGTAATCCAAATAAACGCCGCAAAAGTTTTTGCCGTCGTTTCGCAACTGTGGCCGCAATCGGTTGGGAGACCCGAAGTACTTCGATGTGGTTGTCGTCGACTCCGCCCCGTCATCGAAGTCCAAATCGCTCTCTTCGGTGGTCTCCTCTTCGTCTCTGTCTCTCACTTTTAACGGAGACTTTCTTTTAGTTGATTCGCCGCCTCTACTCGTCGATGCGGTCGCCCTTTCGTTATCATTAGTGGTCACCACTTCTTCGTCGTCGCTGTGATTGTCATCCAAATGAGTGTCAATAATAAGTTTCTTTGGGGAGTCATCGCTCTCTTGTGAACCGATATCAACACTCAATTGATCGCTACTCTTGTGAGGCATCACTTCATTCGCAGGATTATTGTCAACAGTGTTCACACCGTCGGCAATGACCGCAACGATAGTGTCGTTGACGGGAGTGGTTGTAGTGGTTGTTGAGGTGATCACTGAAGGGGTGGTAGCGGTCGACGTCTTGGGCACCACTCGGTAGTCATCCAAAGGCATCAATTGATTGGCTTTACACGAGTCGTAAACATAAGTGACATAATAGTAGAGGCGGTCGTCTTTGTGGCACTCAATGGGGTTGTAGTCAATGGCCACCAAATTGACGGACAACGGGTCGTAACCATTGGATGAGACCATTCGTCCGCNTTCGCTTCACTTTACGGGCCTTTTTTACCGACTCTTCGACCGTCACTTCAGTGGTCTTTTGGGGCTCAACTTCGGTCTCCACTTCCACTTCAGTCTCTTCGTCCTCCGAGTCCTCTACTGTCTTACTCTCCACTGATGTCTGTCTCGTATCGACCGTTCGTTTGGCACACTTTTTAGGCGGCGATTGCTTTGCGGCCGCCGCTGACTGTTTCACTGAAATCACTTTCTGCTCACACTTCTTGAGGATAACACGTCTCTCGCCCTCTGAGAGACTGGTTATATGCGACAGCATTTGTCGCGCGGACTCTACGCTAATGTCATATTTGTTGAGATTGGGAACAATGCGCTTAATATAGCGCTCTTTCAACGACTGCCACGTCCTCTTCCACTGTTTGCTGTGGAAGTCCTTCTCCATGTCTCTCCAGAACTTGCGTCCCTTCACTAACTCGTAGGCCTTCTTTCGAGTAATATAATGAAGAATATTCTTGTCTTCATCGGAAGTGTACGCACCGGTCAGACCTCGAGATACCGTTGAATCCCTCTCAGCGTAAAAATAGTCATTCAGTGTTTGTTTGTCTTTCTTTGAGATGTCTAACGTCTCGATGTTTGGCATAATATGTCTGCGGAAGCGCTCTTTCATGGACTGCCAGGTCCTGCCTTCGCACACAGTCTTCTTCTCGGCCTTTAACCACAAACTATTGCCTTTCATTTCATCGAATCGACGGCTCTTTAACACAAACTCAACGATGGCTTCGTCTTCGCTGAGTGTGTACTGCGAGCTCTGCTTTAATCGCCTCATTAATGACTTATTTGGGTATATCTTCGGCGTCACCGAACTCTTCTTGTTATCACTTTTAGAACTCTCGGTCTTCGAGTCTTCGTCTCCCGAAGATATATCACTCACTTTCAGACCCGACTCTTGCGAATCATTGCTTTGTCTTCTCTCAGCGATTCTCTTCTGTAATATCTTTTCGCCAAATGTCGTACTCTTTTGGCGCTGAGACGGAGCCGACTCTCCTTTCAACGACTTATCGGTGCCTTTCTTTGTCCGTCGATTGTCTGTAATCTTCGATAACTTTAACGCGTTTTTAATTTGCAATAAGTTGTCGGGAGTCGCCGTCCGCTCCCTTTCCTTCATGTAATCCAAATAAACGCCGCAAAAGTTTTTGCCATCGTTTCGCAACTGTGGCCGCAATCGGTTGGGAGACCCGAAGTACTTCGATGTGGTTGTCGTCGACTCCGCCCCGTCATCGAAGTCCAAATCGCTCTCTTCGGTCGTCTCCTCTTCGTCTCTGTCTCTCACTTTTAACGGAGACTTTCTTTTAGTTGATTCGCCGCCTCTACTCGTCGATGCGGTCGCCCTTTCACCGCCCCGTCATCGAAGTCCAAATCGCTCTCTTCGGTGGTCTCCTCTTCGTCTCTGTCTCTCACTTTTAACGGAGACTTTCTTTTAGTTGATTCGCCGCCTCTACTCGTCGATGCGGTCGCCCTTTCATTATCATTATTGGTCACCACTTCTTCGTCGTCGCTGTGATTGTCATCCAAATGAGTGTCAATAATAAGTTTCTTTGGGGAGTCATCGCTCTCTTGTGAACCGATATCAACACTCAATTGATCGCTACTCTTGTGAGGCATCACTTCATTCGCAGGATTATTGTCAACAGTGTTCACACCGTCGGCAATGACCGCAACGATAGTGTCGTTGACGGGAGTGGTTGTAGTGGTTGTTGAGGTGATCACTGAAGGGGTGGTAGCGGTCGACGTCTTGGGCACCACTCGGTAGTCATCCAAAGGCATCAATTGATTGGCTTTACACGAGTCGTAAACATAAGTGACATAATAGTAGAGGCGGTCGTCTTTGTGGCACTCAATGGGGTT